CTCTACTTAATTGTCTTGACATTGACAGCTGTGACAGCTCCTTGACTAGTGCAATCTCGGAAGACTGGAGCACCAAACGGAACCAATATTTACCAATTGCATTTCGTGTTCTTCATGACACATGATTTCTGTTTGTTCTGTTCATGGGCCCAGAACGGTGGCTTCCCATGGATCGTTCTGAAACTGCATCGCGTGGCTCCCTATCTGGCGCTGTCACAGAGCGTTGAATGCTGTGTGGAAAAGAGTTGCGGTCTCGATTCAAATTTCAGTAAAGACAATGAGAATGGCTTTTAGTCAAGTCATAATGCGGGCCATATAATTCTTAACCCAGATAATCATTATGTTTGCAGTGAGGAGGCTGCTTTTCAATTTGGAGAATCACATCATCTCATAAAGCATTCTCATCCTGTACTAGCTCATTGAATTCAGCTTGTCAGTGAGCTTGGAGACCAAATCCAAAAAAAGAATATGTGTAGGAGGAATTACCACATATTACTAGGATTAAGTTTACTGCAAGGTCGGAGGCAGAATTGTGTATATGGTTGTGTTTGCAGATTTGAAGTTGAAGAAGTCGATTGTGAAAAGTTCAGTAGCCTCGTTGGAATTCGAACCGACGCATGGACGTTGCCTACGCTTTGTACGCGCACGCTCTACCAGCTGAGCTACGAGGCCACACCGGTAGCACTGATTTTTTCACATTCAAATTTTACCCGTCCAACTTAGAGAAGAATATAACATCCACCGATTAGCATGTTAGCTGACTAACTCGACAGGTTGTTGTGGTGATCCAGACTTCCGTGACCGCAATCCATGCGCGACCAGGTACAGTTTTATGTCATCCAATGACCACTCACGAAGCTCGACCAATGGTACACCGGGCGTACAAGACATCCGAGTTAGCACATATGGTAAGTCGGTGCAAACGGTTACGTGATTAGAGGATGCTCGTTCAACGAATCATATGGACTATTACATTCTATAAAACATGATCTAATTCCATCAATAAACATAAACATTTACTGCTATCAATTCCTCGTGTATTTCATTGGTGTCCGCAGTTCGGGTTGGAGCCAATTCAGTTCTGAGCAGTACAGTACGGATTCTCGTATTCCTAAATTCAGTACTATTCCGATTACTACAATTTGGCGTCGCGCAATGGAGATTCCTGTCATTGAACCATTGAACCTGCACGGAAGCTTATCAGAAATCGAAGAGTGGGTAGAACGTTTCGAATTATGGTGCAGCATCCGGAAAGGAGGAATGCAAAATCAGTCGGTCCTATTTTTGATGTTGGGTGGCCGAGAGCTGTTTTCCCTGGTGAAGAATCTATCGTTCCCGAATGTTCCTGCTGAATTGCCGTTCGAGAAGTTGAAATCCCTCTTACTGGACCACATTCTCCCAGTGAATTTTCAGGCCACTGAATGGGCCAAATTCAACTCAGTGATCAGAGCTGCCAACAAGCCGCGCCGTGAATTCGTTCTCCAGCTGAACAAACAGGAGTCAAATTGCAACTACGGTGACACATTTGAAGAACTACTTTGGGACCGTCTCATTGCTGGAATCAAAAACACCTCATTACAACGTTAGATGTTGGCAAACAACGATATCACGTTTGCTGAGGCTCGGAAAATCTCTACGCAAATTGACGATTTGTGTGCTATCACAAATGCGGATACTCCTGTGTTATCGTGCAGATCCAGGCCTAAGCGATGACGCCTACTCTGGAGCGGCGTGTTACAGTTTCAGGACATTTGTGATCAATCAAATTTGAATGCTGACATCAATGACACGTACATGGCTTCTGAATACACGTCAGTGGTGGATCATGCCAGCTAATCCAAGACAGTGCAGACAGAAGCAAGAGTATGCAAGCAGTACTACAATCCGATTGGTGGAAGCTCAGATAGCCAAAACTTTCCCTTTGTACATATTATTTAATCATCTTCATTTCTTTCAATAAATGAACTACTGCTTACTACCATTCCCGTGGCCTTTATCTTGCTTCTCGTGGGACATTGGGAATCCGTGTCATTATGGTCCAGTGCTTCTGCGATCCAGTCCGAGATAGCTGATTATTGATTCGGGTCCTGTGATTCATATTACGTGGTTGGTGTTCCGATTTCCGTGCGTACTACTACCGCAAATACAATCATTACAGTTTTTCCATCGTTAATCAACGAAACCCTTAGGTGGTGCACCCAATGTTTGTAATTCACCCCAGGTTCCTCAAGTACCCAATTCAAGCCGAACACAACCGAAGGCTGCCACCAACTGTTGCTTTTCATGTGGTGAATACCATCTTCATTCGACTTGTCGATTCCGTAATACCACTTGCCATGCATGCGGTAAGATGGGCCATATCCGCAAGGTATACCGAATGTCCAAGTGCAACCTCATCGACTCCCATATCCCAACGGCAGATGAGAATTCAAGCCCAATCTACACGCTGCAGACCACTGAACCCAACGGCCAGTTCGTGTTCGCCCCACTGAGGTTCGAGTCTGGTGTGAAGCACCGATTCATCATGGATACAGGAAGCAGCGAATCTATCCTACCAAAATCAGCACTCACTGCGATTTGTTCGAATGCTGTTCTAGCCCCGATTTCTGTGCGTGTTCATGGGGTTACTGGCCATCAGTTGCAATTACTTGGTGAAACGATGTTGTGCGTTCAATCTGAATCCGGTGTGTCAACCCCAATCCGGTTCCTGGTATCAGCCCACAGTCCATCTATTTTGAGCCTGCGAGCACAGCGGCTACTGCAAGGATCAATCACACTACAGTGTTCCGGTAACATTGGTGGCATGAAAGTACCGTCGGTGAAGTTG